GTGAACCTATCTTTGCCACATAAAGGGTTTTTTTGTGTGTGAGATTCCTAGAAAATTGCTAGTTTATGGCTGGAAAGGGTGAAAGGCCTTAAGCAGTAGTTAGTTGTCCTGAATTTCCTGCTGCTTCTGTACTCAGAGGCCTCAGCCAGCTGCCTGCATGAGGGCTCCTTTTCCTTCTCATGCCCTCAGACCTTTCTATCCTTTCTCAGAGAGTGATGAAGACTCCCAGCATCTACCACTGGCCAACACATACAGACAGGCAGGTATACGCATGTGAGCGCGCTCGTGCACACACACACACACACACACACACACACACACACACACACAAACACACACACAGCATAATGGCCTGGTCCCTCCTTCAAGATTCAGAGTCAAGTGAGTTCAGGCTGGGACCTGACATTTGCACTTTTAATAAAGTTCCCAGAAGGTATGGAAGCTGCTGGCCATGGGCCCATCAAGCTTCCCATCATTCCTCACTTGAGTTATTGCAATAGCCTAATAACTATTTATATATTTTTAAAATATTTTTTGAGATTATAACATATCATTTCCCCCTTCCCTTTTGTCTCTCTGAATGTGCTCGGGCAATGGAATTTATAGTTGTACTCACTCCATTCTGTGGGTTTCCCCCCTCCTCTTCTGACTTTCTAATTCCATATTGTTAAAATATCTTCCTTAAGTTTGGGGAAAGTCCATCTTTGGTAGTTTTACTTCCAGAAGTTAAAAACCTAGAAAATTCAAGTTCCTAGTTTGCAACTTGGGTATAAGATGGTGGCCCAGGCTCTACCATTTGACTTACTTGGAAGACTCCACTGGGTGGTAAGAGAAACCTAAAGAAGGATACTTTGGACAAAATCCTCTTTGAGGTAATGGGGGGAGGTTGGACGAGATTCCACACATACAAGCTTACCTCAGGGGCATTCAGATGGTTCTGTGGCTTAAAGAATTGGCTTTACCCTTGACTCTGAGTTGTAGTCTTTCCTTCCTTCCTTCCTTCCTTCCTTCCTTCCTTCCTTCCTTCCTTCCTTCCTTCATCCCTTCCTTCCTTCCTTCTTCTCTCTCCCTTCCTTTCCTTCCTTCCTTCCTTCTCCCCTCCCTTTTCCTTCCTTCCTTCCTTCCTTCCTCCCTCCCTCCCTTCCTTCCTTCCTTCCTTTCTTTCTTCAGAATCTTCAAAACATCTATGAGCTGTACAATATTATTTGGGAAAAGTTATTACACTTACTTATTTTATTCTGTGTGTACGTGTGTGTGTGTGTGTGCACACATGCCTATGCCCGTGTGTGTGCACAAGTACTCATGTCGCAGCATGCCTGTGGAGGCCAGAGGACGATTTGCAAGAGGAGTCAGTTCTCTCTGTGTGGGTCAAACTCAGTCCCTCAGAATTGACAGCAAGCTCCTTTACCCCTAGACTCTCCTCACTGGTCCACAATATAATTTTAAGATGATTTTCTTTTCCTAGTAAAAGCAGTCAGTGCACTTCGTTATTTGCAACTAAGAACTCTGTGGTACATCCATTCACACAGCAGTAAGACCAGAGCCCTTGCATACTTTTGAGATACAATCCCTTGAATGCAGACTACTGCTCCCCTCACAACACCTCTAAGGACCAGACAGACCTCCTGTGCCTGCTCCTGCTCTCACTCAGCTTTGATACCCTTCTCTACTCTGACAGAGCTATTGCTCATTTTCTTGAACACACAGCTTGTCCCCACTCTAGACCTTTGCCTCTGCTGTTGTTTCTTCATGGAGAATGACCCTTTTGGATCCTTTTGAACTGGCCTTTTCCTCATTTTACAGAACTCAAGTTGTTCAACTTAAAAATGACAACTGTATAGGAAACTCTCCCCAACTATGCAATCCAACATGGCTGACATCACACAGAAGTCTGATTTTTTACTGATAGTTTACCACTAGGTTTTCTTATATATTTGCTTCCTGTAGGTCCTTATTCTATGATCCCTAAAGCAAATATGTGTCATGGGTGTATGAATTTTGTTGATAAGTATTTTCTCTCAGATTATTCCTTGTCTTTCCATTTTTTCTAAGTGTTGTTTTGAGAATCATGAACACTTTTAGTATGATAGAGAATGTGACAATTGCGAACCCTTTGAAATTTAGATTCCTTCATGATCCACCAGCTCTTCCCTGTCCAGCCCTTCTTCTATGCAGAAGTTTCTGGTGTGATCTCACACTGGGCAAAACCATATCTTTAGGATCATTTTGAGAGTTTTGAGACAATCCCTCCCTGGCCTTCACCAGCAGTTCCCAAGACCATTGACAAGTCCATTGCTTCCCACCAGCCCAAACTCTGGCTATGGGGCTACAAAGTGAGCTTCCTATGAATAGATCCACCATTGGGGGTCTGTGTGTGCTGGCACATCGTTCCAGGCTTCCTTTGGCTCATCTTTCCCTTTCTTCCCGCTGGGAGTCTGAGTGCTCTGCAGCTGTTCCAAGAGCTGGCTGCTCTGACTGGCAGAAGAGCAAAACAAAAGATGTGAGGTGGTGACTCCCCACATCTGCACTGCTCCAGAGAACACAGAGCTGATGCCTTTAGCAATGGGGGGCTTTCAGGCTCAGGACAGAGGAAATGTACCCTGAAGGGGAAAGTTTCCCTTCTAGCTGACAGAGCCACTCATCAATGGGCAAGGAACATCATGAAACGGAACATTAAGCTTTGATGAACTGCAAAGCCTCAGAGGTTTAAGCTGTGAGTCAACAGAGACCTTCTAATCTATATAAACACTCTGCACGCAAATTCCCACCCAGCTTGGGGCCTTATTTGGTTGGAGTTTCTGACTGTCTCTCACAGGAGACAGGGCTCTGAGGTGAGGCAAGTTGCTGTGGTTTTCTGGGTAGCTGCCTACAAGGAACTCTCCTCAGACATCCTCCATCATTGTGGGGGCGGGTCACTTCCCAAGCTCAGCTCTTGTGACTATGGGTCCTCCTGGGCCTCCACTCCCAGTTTCTTCTTCCACTTCTGAGGCGTGGTCAGGGACTCTTCAAATAGCTCTGATCTGTCAGTCTCCTTTTTTGTCCTAAAGGCTTTCAGCCCAAGGGCCAGCACTGGTTACACGGGCTGAGAGGCAGAGATGTTAGCTGGAGCTCATTAGTGCCAACTGAAAGCTGGTGGTTTCTGCAGGCATCACATTTCCATTGGGTCTCAGCACACCCTGTGTGAGTGTGTGTGTGTGAGTGTGTGAGTGTGTGTGTGTGTGTGTGTGTGTGTGTGTGTG